TTTACAAAGCTCCCTCCCTTTTTTTTTGGACCATTTGCAGTGGTTTTAGAGACTGTATAGTTGAACTGGTTCCCATGGGAAGTGAACAGTGACACTAGTCTCCAGATCATCTATATATACACAGATAACAACCCTAGTGAAACACCAGTGATGTATTTACTTTCCCCCCCGTTCTGTACACACACTTTTTAAAAGAACCCACTGTGAAATGACTTTCTATCCCCCCAAATGAGCCAGTCTGCCACTTTGCCCTGGCTAGGCGGGATACAAATCTAAAGTAATAAATAAATAAATAAATTCCTGGAACAATGGTCTAAGACCTGCAAATCTGGAGGAAAGAATACACATGTAGCAATCTCATTTGCAGTAAGTTCTCACTAGTGAAACCAATCTGGATTCCTATTGAAATACAAGATGAAGAATACAATCTAGCCCTTCGTAGCATGTCCTATGAATAACAGACAATGGAATGCCAGTTATACAGAGGCACTGGCGACAGAGATCACAACAAACTTTTAATGGTCTTAATAGAAATTATAATAGCTGTGATGAATCATGAGAAAAATATGTGCCAGCCATAGGCCAGTGAGGTGGAAAACCAGGAGAAAGACAAGCATTTCTGAGAAATAACACCTTGGTAGGTAACTGCTGGTGCAAATGCCAAAGAGTGGCACACTGGCGGTGCCAGCAGAGCTATCAGAACTCAGTTGGCTACCACTATGTCTAGCCAAGTACAGCCCTTCTCTCTCTCCTCTGCCTTTTTATTTGCCACATCATCATCTTCTTCCATGGTCGATGTTGCAGTTTTATTGGTACTCAGGCCAAAAAGGCTGTCTCCCTGCGTATCTGAAGAAGTAAACGGTGACTCTCCAAAGCTTCTATTCTAATAAATGTTGTTAGTCTTTAAGGTGCCATTGGACTTCTGTTTTATTTCATTTACTCCTGGAATAGTCTCACAAGAGTGGTGTTCCTAGGTCATGTACCACCTCAGACTATGCCAGTGGGCAGAAGGGCATGTATGATTGAATATTCCAACATACTGTCAGCGAGCTGCCATCTCTCTGCTGGGACATCTCACGTCCCTTCCCTTCCCCCCCCCCTGTTTTGCTCTCCTGGTTTTCCTCCTCTTAGGCAACTGCTGTAACCAAGGTCGCCAGCTGGTGAGAAGTGAGAGTTATGTCTTCGCACTCATGCTTGTTTAGACTTACCCGTGTGAAATGAACTTGTGTTTAGGGAAACGGGCGTTACTTTCTCATGTACCTTCGCGCCCTTTCTAATCTCCCCGTTTCCAGTGGGAAATGGGACCATTGGTCCAAACCTTGTTCAAAATTCCTTTATTATACCTGTACTGCTGACAAACGTCATTCCAATCAATTCCTGTGTGTTCGTGATCAACCATGTCTTTGAAATAAATCTTGCTTTACTTTTGAACGTGGATCTATTCTCATGCTTGGGGATCTAACATTTTGATTGGAATCCCATTTTCCCCCTCACCCCGAATCTGACAAAAGTCATGAGCGGGGCAGAAGGGAAACTACCATCCCAGGCGGGGGATCGGGGGGACGTCCCGGTTCCCGCCTCAGCATCGAGCTCGGTCTCGGTCAGCGGGGCTGTTGGGGGAGCGATCCCTCGACACGAGACCATACCGTGGCCTCCTCCGACCCCATCGCATTGGGGCAGACAGGAGGTACGGGTGGTGGACGATTGGACTATGTTTGATACCCAGGGCACGAAAGAGACGTTTTCTCATCGTGGCAGTGGGCTCCGCGAGAGCCTGTTTGAACAAGGGTTGTACCCGGAGAGACCGCAGAGTTGCCCTCTGGAGAGCTACCGAGACGAAGACGACTTTTGGCCAACCGAAAGGCCAAGTGGACATATACCCAGCCGAGCGGGATCGGGGCGACGGGAGAGCAGAGGGGATTGACTGACAGAGCTGGAAAGTGCTGTGCAGGACCTCATGAGAACAGTAACCGAAGTCTTCAATGCGATACCACAGATGATGGATAATCGTATTGCGGATCGTATGACGGGGTTACTCCCGCAGCTCCCACCGGTCGGTCAGGTGCCACAACTGCC